GCAGTTCCTTCCTATTCCTAGTTCTCTTAGTTTTTATCAGAAGCAGATTTTGACAGATGCTTTTTCTATATCTATTGAGATAATCAAAAGGTTTATCTTTGAAAATTTGCTAATATGGTGAATTACATTATTGATTTTCAAATGTTAAACCATTCTTGTATTTCTAGGATAAACCCTGGTTGGTCAGGATTACCTTTTTATATGGCATTGGACTCAATCTGTTAAAATTTCCTAAAACAGATTTACATCTGTGTTCATAAGGGATATTGGCCTATTTTTTTCCGTAATATCTTTGTTCAGTTTTGGTATCAGGGTAATGGTAGCCTCATATAATATGTTAGGAGGTATTTCCTACTCTTCAATTTTCTGAAAGAGTCTGTGTTGTGGTATTACTTCTTCTTTAATTATTTGATAGAATTCATCAGTTTAGCTATGCGGACCTGAAGTTCTCTTGTGGGAAGATTTTTCATTTAACTATCAGGTCAATTTCTTTAGCAGATATAGAATTACTCATGTAATCTGTTCCTCCTTGAGTGAACTTTGGTATTTAGTGTCTTTCAAGGAATCTGTTCATCTTATCTAAATTGTCAAATTTGTTGGCATAAAGTAATTCATAATATTCTCTTCTTAGCCTTCTAATGTCTCTAGTATCTGTAGTGATATCACCTCTCACATTGCTGATATTGTAATTTGTGTCTTCTCTCTTTATTGATCTTCTCAAGGAACCAGCTTTTAGTTTTGTTGATTTTCTCCATCGCTGTTATGTTTTCTATTTCATTTTTCTTATCTGATCTTTATTATTTTTTTCTCCTTACTTCAGGTTTAATTTGTATTTATTTTTCTAGTTTCTTAAGGTAAAATCTGAGGTCACTGATTTGAGACCTTTCTTCTTCCCGAGTATATGTGATTAGTGCTATAATTTTTTTCCTTAGTACTGCTGACATATTGTGCTTTTTTCTCATTTAGTTTAATATACTTTTTCATTTTTCCTTTCTTTTTTTTCTTTGAACCTGTGAGTTGTTTAGAAGTGTGTTACTCTCTTTCCAAATACTTGGACATTTTCCAGAGGTCTCTCTGTTATTGGTTCCTAATGTAATTCCATTGTGGTCAGAGTACATACTTTGTACAAATTGAATCCTTTTAAATTTATTAAGACTCATTTTATGACCCAGAATATGGAGTTTCTTGGTCAATATTCCATGGGTATTTGAAAAGTACATTTAGCTGTTGTTCAGTGGAGTGTTCTATAAATGCCAATTAAGTCAAGATGGCTGATAGTGTTCAAATCATCTGTATCCTTACTGATGGCTGTCTACTTGTTTTATAAATTATTGGGAGAGAAAGTTGTTGAAATCTTTGGATATCATGGTGACTGCTATTTTTCCTTGCGGTTCAATCAGTTTTTGCTTTGTGTATTTCAAAGTTCTGTTATTAGACACATAAATGTTTAGCATTATTATAGCATATTGATGGATTGGCCTTTTATCAATATGAAATAACTTTTAAATTTCCATTAATATTCTTCCTTCTGTAATCCACTTTGCCTGATATTAATATGCAATATTCTCTTAACTAATGTTAATGTGTTATATCTTTTTCCAGCCTTTTACTTTTAACTGTTTCTGTCTTTATGTGTAAAGTATGTTTCTTGTAGGCAGGATACAGTTGGATTTCCTCAATGTAGCTAATCTACAAAGCTATACCTGTGTTTCCCCTCCCTGTGCGATGAACTAAAAACTCTTCAGGCAATAAGACAGGGCAAACTTGGAGCTCACTTTGTTTCTCTCCTATCTTTCAGGAACAGAGCTTGAACTAGAGTAAGATGAGTGAAGCCCCTATAATAAAACATTTAAGACAGAAATCACTATGGATGCACAACTTGGAGAGTGAAAGCCTCCTTAGATTTTGTACCATAAGCAGCTGACTCTTAGGAAGGTACTAATTCTCAGGGTTGTGTGAGTGCAGGGTTAGCTCATGAGTAAATATCTTTCTAAATTCTGTACTGTAGGAGCTGAATTCACTCAGCTCACTATAGGCCTGCTCCTGTTAAGGACCACCATCCTTCATTCCTGATGCCTAGTGTCTTGAAAACCATTTTTAAAATTATATTCTGTCTGGATTTTTGGTTTTTCAACTGGGAGGGTAAATCCAGGCTCTGATATTACATCTTTTCTGGAAACAGAAGTCTAGACTTACTCATTATAAGATAAAAATTCCACATGTAGAGCTACCTGCCTGAAATAAAAATGCTTGCAGGCCCTCCTCCGAAGACTTCAACAAAAGATTTGTCTTCCTTCATTCAGTGATCAGTGAGCACCTTCTATATACTATATTCTAGGCTAGAAACTGTGGTTAAAATCAAATAAGACATGGTGCCTGCCTACCAGTTGCTCATAGCTGACTTCTCTAGAACAACTAGACTGGCTCTTTCATGTCATGCATCACCTGTTACCAGCTGGGCAGAGATAGAGGGAAAGTGGTCTAGGGAAGGTAGAAAGCCAGCAAGCCTCAGATCTGGAGCTAATAAATCCTCTCTACTCTTTCTCAGGCCCCGAGTGACTTGAGGGCTCACTTAAGGTCACACAGCTATTCAGAAGTAGTCGATTGTTAGGCCTCAGTTCAAAGCATCTTCACCCAATGTCAGTCGCTATTATTGAAATCCCACCATTAGAGACTCTCAGAGACTCATTCATTAAGGACAGGGACCATGTCCTATTCACTATTTCACCTAACACTATTTCTCAATGTTAGCTCAGGGCTTGCTGCATGGTAATCAGTAGATGGAAATAAATGAATGGATGAATGAATTAAAGACATTCCCCTTAAAATGATGACTGTGCCTCTGGGAGGTGATTTAGATCAGTTGGGGATGAGTACACTGTTAAGAGAAAGCATAGAACTGGGTCCCAGGAAGGTAATGTGTTATAGCAGAAGAGTTCTCTAACTGTGCTAGACCTTGATCCAAATTAACCTTTCCAAAATTCAGTTGCCTCATCTGTGTGATGGGAATCCCAATCATACTTACCATATAGCAGGATGTCAGGTTCAATAGGATGAAGTATGCTAGGGGCCTGACAAGAGAAAGCAGTCAAGGAATGACAGATTTTATTAACCTTGTCTCCTGGGAGCAGCAGGTAGGAGTAGGGTAGGGCCTATTGGGTGCAGAGACCTTGCAGACGGAGTCCTGGCAAGGTATCAGGAAGACAACAGCCTGTTCTGCTCATGTGATATATTTGCAGAAGCTCACATCACCACCATCTTTATGCGAAAGCTCTTCCAAAGGCAGCACTCCATGCAGGTGGGCTGAACAATGCACATAAAAGCCATGGAGATGGCCCTCCCCTTCAGGACATGCATCCAAGGCAACTCCCTATGGGGAAGATAGAATAAAAATGTTAAATCTGCTTAGGATTAGGTGATGGTGAGTTCACACACATAGGGATGACAAGAAAGAGCATTTCCTGAGGATGGGACTGGTCAGATGGGTCAGGTTGGGAGTTACATGTCCAGCCACGCAGAGCAAAAGATGTGGTCTGGTCTGCTCTGTCAAGGCCCTATTACATAAAGTTCATCCCTGAGGCCAGGAGCTCTTCCAGCTCTGGCCCACAGCTCTTGCCAAATCTGGTAAGTGCAAGATGTGCACCAAAATCAACAGATTTTAGATTGCTTTGGACATGGTTTAGCTGAGTCAGAGGCCTAGGGCCTGGTAATCAGAGAAACCTGCCTGGTGATTCACTTATTTTCCTCCTTTCTTACTCACATGGACACAGGAAATATGATCCAGGGCATCACCTTCTCCAGCTCCCCACAAAATGCATTGCAGTGCACATCTCTATTTTTAAGTCTAAATGTGATCATGTATTTAATATTTGGACCTATTCTACTTTCAAAAAGTCTTCAGATGGAAAAAATCCAAGGATGTTATTATTTCCTTTTAACCCATGGACTCAGTTTTTAATTAATAACATTTATAATTAATAACATTTTGTGATGTGGGACTTCACAGACTTACAGATGATCAGAACTAGGAAGGACCTTAGAGACAAACAGGTCCAGTCTTCTTCTCATACAGATAAGGGAGCTGAGGCCCAGACAGATACTGACTTGTTCAAGGTCATATAAGCAGCAGTGGAGTCCAGACTGGAAGCCAGGTTTCTGTATGCTCTCTTCCACATCACATTGTAGTCTTTTAGAGTCTGATTGAGGTGTATGATTTGTGATTTGGTTTGGGCTGAAAACAGCCTTGGACATCACCAAACCAGGCCTGGGAAACCCTGTGCAACATGGATTGGGGCCCGTTTTCTCCTATGTAAACTGCAGAGCTCACAGCTGTGGCAGAGGTCTATGACATTGGGTAAGAGCTCACCAAGAACTTGACTGTGAATGATGTAGGAACAAGTGCACCTGGCTGAGGGGAGCTTTCCATCCTCGGCAATGCTGAGGAGTCGGGACAGAGTGGGGTTAAGATCATACAAGCTATGCAAGCTTGGATGTAAATCTCAGCTTTTGTAGTGATTTTGCTGCATGATATCGAGCAAGTCACTCAACCCTCTCTGAGCCTCAGTTTTCTCATTGCTAAAATGAAGATGATAATAGCTATCTCAGAGAGGTGTGAGAATTACATGAAAAAATTGTATATAGAGGCCATGGCATGGTGTCTGAGTAAACTCTCTGTAAATGGCAGCTGGTCTACTGGGGTCTACTTTGTTGTTGTTTTGTTGTTTAAATTGGGAGAAATTGTTTTCAGGCTTCCCCTATTCCATATCCTTTCAATCTGGAGATGTCTGTCTTCTCCACACTCTTCCCTTCTCCCTTTGATGGGCTTGCTGATCTATTAGTGGTGGCGTATTTTCCCCTTGTCCTGGGCTTTTGCTAATTAAGAGGTGGTTGCTAAGAGATGCCTGGACACACTGTTGAGCGGCTCTGTGCTTCCCTCTCGTTCTTTTCAGCCTCACTCCAACCCACCACACTGACTTCTCTCTCCCATCTTCCAAAATCAGGTTCTGAAAAAGACTTCAAGAAACTGACTAATCTGGATGGCCACCCCTGATGGAAGGGTAGTCTCCAGACCCCAGAGACCTGGTCAGGGGTCTGGCCAGAAGCCGAAGGGGAGTGGAGCCTGCCTGCATCCCCTGGACAGCCTGGAGCAGAGGGAGACTCAGGAGCAGGCGCTGGGCCAGCTAGCCATGCTGAGGAAGGCACAGGAATTCTTTCAGACCTGTGATGCTGAAGGCAAAGGCTTCATCGCCAGGAGGGACATGCAGGTAAGTGGGGTTCCAGGTAAGCCTGCCCACTGAGAATGCCAAATGTCTTCCTGTCTCGGGTTAGGGTTTGTCCCATGGGAGGTGACATGCTTAACAGAAAAGATGCCATCAGTTCTGTCTTGGAAGGAGTGTCTGACCAAACTCTGCTAGGAGCCAGACCTCCTGGATTTGTTCTCTTTCTGGCTTTTACTTGCTGTCAGACTCCAGGGCTGTTTCCTTCTCTGCCTTAGTAACTCACTGAGACTGTGGGAAATGATAATAGTAACATGAGGGACTTAAGTAAGACACAGGGAAGAGCCTTCTGAAACTGAGAGTAGAAAGGCACCAACTTGAGTTATAACAAAGTCATTCCTGCTGTGTATGCCTTGGGAATAGGTACAGTGTCAGGTGTCACCACCTGGGAGGAAGGCATTGCTGACGTTGTTTTATCCATCTCTCACCTTCAAACCCGAGCACTGCACTAGGCCATGGTTCTCCAGAGAGATGGTGAGCCGAGCATCAGCACACACCATTGCATACTGCAGGGCCCGGCAGCCTTTTTATAAAGGTCCAGAGAATAAAGGTTTCCGGCTTTGCGGACCTCACAGTCTCTATCACAACTACTCGTCTCTGCCGCTGCAGCACAAAAGCATCCATAGGCAATATGTGAAAAAAATGAGGGTGCCTTCTTCCAATCAAACTTTATTTATGGACAAGGAAGTTTGAATTTTATATCATTTCCATGTGTCACCAAATATTGTTCTTCTTTTGATATTTCTTTTCAACCGTTTAAAAATGTAAAAACCAGTCTTAGCTCACTAACCATACCAAAGTAGGGGATTGCTGAGTTAGCCCAGGGGCAGAGTTTGCCCACTCCTGGTCCGGTGCCTTTCTTTCTTTACTTTCAAAAACTTCTCAGTGGCTAACTGAAGTCCTTTATGCTGTCGTCAGGATTTCACTTGAACATGGGTGAATAAAACACAGACTCCACTAGAGTACTTTGAAAGCAGCTCTTTTCCCCTCTGTCTTTCTGTCACTCACTCCATCAGAGTAGTTTTGGAAAGGATGCATCCCTGTGCTGTGGGAGGCAGTGCAACGTCTGGGTTCTCTAAGTCTAGTTTTTCAGAATATGTCAAAGTTGGGCAATGAAATGTAGACCCTCATTCTGCTCATGCACGTGAGCTGTGAGGTGTGAGGCTGAGAAAGAAGCCTTGTGACCCAAGGTGAAGTGTGGCAGTTCTTTCTCTCCCTGGCCCCAAATGATGGTGCTTTTATGCTTCTCCAAGAGCTATTCCACTGTGCAACCACTGCACGAATTGAGGGAAAAGACCTGAGGAACAGCACCAGCTCAGCCCACCCTTCTTTGCAGTGATGACTCCTCCAGTAAGTTTCTGTCACCGAAACCCATTCGCCAAAGCCTCACTCCGTGTGGAAGGCCAGATTCAGTGTGTTTTGAGAAAACCTTTGACAAAACCCTGTCTGTGAACTTCATAATTGGCATTCACAGGTCTGCAGTAGCGGTAGCTGGTGGTAATGGTTTAAAATCAGGCTTAACTTTTGATTATTCCCTCTAGAAAGGAAAAAAAGGGAATTCACATTTATAGAGGGTCAGCTCTGGGCCACATGTACTGTGTAACTCAGCTCTCTTGCTGTATATAACCTAATTAACTCTCATTGAGCCCTGCTCTTTAATGAAGGGAGGAGGAGGCATGGGGAATTTAAACTAGGTATAAATTTTTAAAGAAGTCACTCATATTTGACTTGAAATATAGTCAGAAACATAAAGTCCCAGAGATTCTGACTCAACCTTCCTCCCCAGTCCTACTCCTGATCCAGTCAGGAGGACATAGGTGCCAACAAGACACCAGGCAGATAACTTGGTATCCAAGGCATTTATTTCTGCCGTCTACTTAATTTTCTGAAGTTTTTTCTGAACCTGTGGACAGGGAAGCATTTGAAACATTTAGTTCCTTAAGCTAGCAAGGGCTGTCAAGAGAGAGAACAGAGCATGTCATGTCATTTAACCACCATCTCTGACTGCTTCCACTGGCCACCTCTGAAGGAAGATGGGCTTGGGGACATGCGTGAAGAAGAATAAAAATGGCTCCTCATGGTCAACTCTGGCCCTCTTCAGTAAGTCCCCATGTCCCTGGGCTCTCCTGGAGCAGGCCCTCCAGGCATCTGTATTGTTGGCTTGTCACTTCTACCTGGGGCTGTGGTATGCATATGGTCACCCCCTTTGGTTGGTGTCCAGCGTCCTGGGCCTGGCCACCACCACCTTTTTTACCTTAGGCTCCCAGCAGAGCCTTATGGGAACTGGAAGGGGAAGAGCTCACATTTTTCTTTCCTTCTTTTTTTTTTGAGATGGAGTCTTGCTCTATCACCCAGGCTGGAGTGCAGTGATGCAATCTTGGCTCACTCACTGCAATCTCTGCCTCCCGGGTTCAAGTGATTCCCTTGCCTCTGCTTCCCGAGTAGCTGGGACTACAGGCACATGCCACTATGCCCGGCTAAATTTTGTATTTAGTAGAGATGGGGTTTCACCATGTTCGCCAGGTTGGTCTCGATCTTCTGACCTCGTGATTCGCCTGCTTCAGCCTCCCAAAGTGCTGAGATTAAAGGCATAAGCCACCGTGCCCGGCCTCACATTTTTCATATACACACAAATTCAGAAACCAGGAAAGGTCCTTGACAGCAGAAAGTGGTCTTCAAGGAAGGAGACACCGTGTGCCAAGTGGAAGGGAGAACACAGGAGGCTGAGGACCTAGTGGAGAAGTCAAGGGGGAAGAAAGTCATGGACAGCTTGCATTTTTTTGGAAAATAGAATGGAATGCTGGCCAACATGGCCAATAGATGCAGCTAGGTGGAACAGCTGCCACTGAAGGACCAAGATGACTGTTGCACTCCTAACAGGTCTTCAGAGGGAAGGCACTGAGAGTGGATGGAAGGAAGACACAGAATTCTAGGCCGAAAGGGGAGGAAGCTGGGAATCCTGCATGCGGCTACCATGCATGGGACTCATTCCCAGCCCGCAACAACTCCAGGGGAATTGCTGAGTTGAACTGGCAAGGAGCAACCCACTCTCTCCATGGGCCCCTGGAACCCCAGCAGGAAGAGACCCCTCAACCACCATGGACACTCAAAGTGGCAGGGAAAAGTGCTTAGAGAAGTAGAGGTACCACGTTAGCTGATGCAGAGCCCAGAGGGTTTGATGTGGGAACATCTGTAGGAGAGCGTGGCCAGATGCAGAGAACCCCAATAAGACACTTCACAAGAAGATCATCCTCAAGACACATAATAATCAGATTCGCCAAGACTGAAATCAAAGAAAACTGTTAAAGGCAGCTATAGAGAAAGGTCAGGTCACCTACAAAGGGAAGCCCATCAGACTAGCAGCAGAATTCTCAGTAGAAACTCTACAAGCCAGAAGATATTGGAGGCCAATATTCATCATACATAAAGAAAAGAAATTTCAACCTAGAATTTCATATCCAGCCAAACTAAGCTTCATAAATGAAACAGAAATAAGATCCTCTTCAGACAAGCAAGTGCTAAGAGAACTTGTTACCACTGACCTGCTTTACAAGATATCCATTACAAGATATGCTCGACTTGCTTCCATAGGAGACTTTAGTCCTAGATGATCTGTCAGACCTGAACTCTGCAGGGCAGTCTTGTCCATAAGACAGGGCTGGTCTGACCTGAGCACCCTTTGATCTGCCAGCCTCTCCCAGGAACCCAGCCCAGATATGCTTGCTTGTGGAGCAGCAGCAGGTGCTCTGGGGGCTTGTATCATGGCTCCTGTGCTGGTGGACTTTTGGCTGACTGGCAGAGAGCTCCAGTAGGGTGGCCCCTAAGGCCGTGCACCAGCCAGCCTGCTCTCTTCCCACACTGCAGCTTCCCCCAGGCCCACAGCAACACCCCACGTCGCTTTGCCAGTGCATGTGTGTGCAGATGGGTTTTGCCTTCTTTGCCCTGCCAGCACTCACATGTACATGCACCCTGCTCTGCCACTGTTGTGGTGGGAGTGCACTCTGTGTTACTTCTCTGCCAGACCACCATTGCAGTTGGAGCCTTTGGGGGCACAGAGCCAGCCAACCACACCCTTGCCAGTGCCCCACTCTGATGCCAACACCGCCATGGAATTGAAACTAGGTACAGAGAACAGCAAACCCTTCCCCTGCCCTGAGCAATCACCCCTGCCGGTCCTGGTGGAGAGCGTGCACACAGACCTGCACTAGCCAGTGCCCCACCCTCATGTAACACCACCACCAGCAGAACTATGCACACAGGCACTCACAGTTTGTGCTACCTTCATCACTGTCATGAACACTCACACAGAAGCAGACACTCTGGCACCTACTAACACCCTGCGGCAGCCAGTGAGTGTGCACCCTACCATGCGGCCGCTGCTGCTGCAGCTGGCACATATGGAGAAAAACAGATCTGACTGCCACCGGTCTGCAAAAAGCCTTGGCTGCCTGACACCACCCATTGTAACACAGTGACCAGTGGCTCAGAAGCACCCTCACCCTACCCCCACCCCCACAGCACAGTATATTCTTAACCTTGAGGAGCCAGAGAAAAAAACAGGGCCTGATACAAGTCCCCCAGAGTTAGAGCACACAGTTCAGGAGTTGGGAGCTGAGCAATGGCCTCTTAAAATCTTCCAGAAATGAAGTCAGTCAGCTGAACCCACCTTATACTACAATCAAACCTTCCAGGTCATTGAATAGAATAAAAGAAAGAAAAAAATCCAAAGATCAGCTACTTCAAAGACTGAAGAAATGTCAGCTCACAAAGATGAGAAAGAATCAGTGCAAGAACTCTGACAACTCAAAAAGCCGGAGTGTCTGCAGGTGCACTACCTCCCCAGAGAGGGTTCTGAACTGGGCTGAGATGGCTGACCTGACAAAAAAGTATGAATAGGAATGAGGATCACTGAGATGCAGGCATACATTGAAACCCAATTCAAGGAAGCTAAGAATCACAATAACATGATATAGCAGCTGACAGACAAA